TGGCAAGAGAGTCACCCCCATCTCTACCTCCCAACACCCCAGCATTTGCTACGACACCTTCAGTGATGGTTAGAGTGCCGGATATATCCTCAGCTACTCTTGTGACCACTACACTTTTTGAAACGAGCCCTCAAACCACCTCCTACACAACAGGTACATCCCCAGCTGCTTCAATGCCCATGTCTCCACTTGAATCAACTCCTGCTACTGCTTTTAGCACATCAGAGATGTTGTCAGCTGCTCCTCTACCCACGTCACCATTGCAGACCTCTGCAGCCACTTCTGCTACAACCGGGACAACCACAGAGTCCCTTGCAACCCCCTCACCATTGGAAACAACAACCACCATCCCTCCTCCTGTAATGCAGACATCAATAGCTACTCTTCTCAGCACTTCACCATTTGAATCAGCAAGCAGAAACCCCTCTACACTACCAGGGATGTTGACATCTCTGCTGAAATCCACTGCATCATTTGCGGGAACTGCTGCCACTTCAATTAAAACAGAAAAAGCCACACCACCTTCAGTGACTTCGACCAACACAGAGGCACCCTCTGCTTCTCCAGAAACCACTTCTCCATGGGCAACAAAGCCCACATCCATCCTTATTGGAACAGGCACCTTGAGAGCCGTGCCTAAGACCACTTCACAAATTGCAATCCCATCTGCTGTCACCTCTCCTAAATATGAGACCTCTAAAGCTGCTCTGGTGACTACTTTACCATTTGAGACAAGAGCTGGGGCCACCTCCAGCACTGCAGGCATGACCAAAAGTCCTCCTGATATATCCATGCCTTCTGAGACAACCAGTGCAGGAATCTCCAGGACAGGGGAGGCCTCCACAACTGCTTCTGTGCCCAATTATCCATTTGCATCCAATTCTGCTGGCACTTCCAGCACTTTTGGGACCTCCTCAGCTGCTCCCCAAACAACTTCACCAGTGGAGAGCTCTGCAGTCACTTCTGCTATGACAGGGCCAACCACAGAGTCCCCTGCAATAAGTTCACCATTTGAAACAGTGACTCCCAACCCTCCTTCTGTAAGGGAGACATCAACAGCTGCTCGTTTGAACACTTCACCATTTGTGACAGCCACCGAACTCCTTTCTACAATACCAGGGACATCCTCATCACCACTTAAAACCACTTCAGCATTTGAGGTATCTGCTGCCACTTCAATCAAAACAGAAACAGCCGTACCACCTCTAGCTACTTCCACCAGGGCAGACACATCCACAGCTCCTCCAGAAACTACTTCTCCATCAACAACAGTAGCTACAACCACCCAAACTACAGCAGGCCCATCCAGAGCTATTCCTGGGACTACTTCAGAAGTTGATGTCACACCTACTATCACTTCTCCTAATGGTGGGACACCTAACGCTGCTCTTGTGACTACTTCCCCCTTGGTGACAAGAGCTGAGGCTACCTCTCACCCTGGAAGCACAACCAAAGCTGCTCCTGGCACCACTACGCCCCATGAGACAACGGGTGCAGGAACCCCTAGCACAACAGAGACATCCACAACTGCTACTATGCCCATTTCTCCATTGCAGTCAACCGCTGGAGCAACTACCAGCGCAGCAGTCTCCTCTAGGGCTACTCTTGGGACCACTTTACCACCAGAGACCACTGCTGCCACTTCTACAGTGACAGACACAACCACAGCGATCCTTGCAGCCACCTCGCCATTTGAAGCAACAACTCCGATCCCTCCTCCTCTAAAGGAGACATCAACAGCTGCCCTTCTGAGCACTTCACCAGCTGGGACGAGACCTGAGGCCATCTCCCGCACAGAAGGGAAAGCCAGTACTGCCCCACAGGCCACTTCACCACTTGAGGAAAGACCTGGACTCACTTCTGTGATAAGAGAGCCATCCACATCTCCACCTCTCCACATCCCAGCTCTTGGCACAACAACTGCAGCCACTGCAAGCCTGCCGGAGACCGCCTCAGCTGCTCTTGTGACCACTTCTCCTTTTGGAACAAGCCCGCAGCCCGCCTTGCCCCCAGCAGGGACATCCACTACTGCACAAGAGATCACGTCGCCATTTGAGACTCCAGCTGCGGGAACCTCGAGCACAGCAGGGACGTCCGGAGTTGCTTCGGCTCCCATTCGCCCATTTGAATCAACTCCTGCAGCCTCTTCCAGCACAGCAGGCTCTGCAGTGGCAACTGCTGTGACCACTTTATCCATGGCATCTGCAGTGGCAGAGACATCCACAGTGTCTCCTACAACCACCCCAGCATTTCAAACATCTGCCGTCCATCCTGATATAGGGAAGGCATCCACAGCTACTCTTCTCAACACTTCACCACTTGAGACAGCAGCCGAACTCTCTTCTGCAATAGCAAGGACATTCGCGTCTCCGCATGAAACCACTTCAGCTTTTGATGTTGCCTTTTCAACTAAAAGTGAAACAGCTACACTACTTCTAACCACTCTGACCAATGCAGAAACATCCATAGCTCCTAATAGCGAGGCACCCAAATCTACTCTTATGACTGCTTCACCATTTGAAACTATACCTGAGGTCACCTCTACCCCTGCAGGAATAGCCAAAGCTTCTCCTGAGACCACTTCTTTCTTTGGGACAAGAGCTATTGGATCCTTCAGCACAATAGGGGGATATACATTTCCTCCTAAGCCTACTTCCCCATTGCAGTCAACACCTGCTGCCTCTTTGAGAACACCAGGTACGTTCCCCACCACTCCTTTGACCACTTCACCTTTAAAGACCACTGTGGCCACTTCTACTCTAACAGAGACAACCACTGCTTCCCTTCCAACCACTGCAGCAATCACTAGCCAAATGGGGACATCCAAAGTTGCTTCTATGGCCATATCTACATTTGAATCATCTGAAGACACAGTAGGCACTTCTGCGACTTCCTCAGCTGCCTCTGTGACCAGTTCACCTTTCAAGACAACTGTTGCCACTTCTACCACCAAAGGGACAGCAACAGTGACAGCTTCTCTTGCAACTACTTCCCTCTTTCATCCCAAACCTGCTGTTTCTCCTACCATAACAGAGGGCTCAACGGCTGCTCTTATGACTATCTCACCATTTATGACTAGAACTGTAGCCACTTCTAGTATATCTGGGACATTGCAAAGTGCCCTAGAAGCCACATCGTCACTTGGGATGACCATCGCTGATACCTCGAGGCCAGCAAAGATATCCACAACTACTTCTACACCTACTTTACCATTTCTGTCAACTCCTGCAGGCTCTTCTAGCACAGCAGAGACCTCCTCTACTGGTCCTAAGTCCACTTCAGTCCCTTCTATAACAAAGTTGTTGGGCTCCTCTGGGTCAACCACGTCATCCCCTCTGTCCCATATCACTGCTGAGAGTAAAAATATTCTTTCTGCTATTACAACCACAGAGATGAATTTATCTGCCTCTCCCAGCTTTGGTCCAGTTAAGACTACAGCATTCATTTCCACTGCAGCAGCCCCTCTGTCAACCACCCTTCGAACAAACCCTGAGACAACTACTATGATGATCAAAACTGCCAGTTTTAGTACTTCTGCGGCTGCAGAGCTAACCACCTATTTGGTAAAAAGCAACCAATCTGAGATGACAACAGCATTAACCACAACTCAAAATTCAGAGAAAACCAGGACTGAACTTCATACTACCAGCCTATTTGGGACCTCAGCACCATTGGACAATGCTTCAATAGATATGAGGAGCACCAAGACTCCTTTGACCACTGCTCAGTCGGAGACTACAACCACACAACCCAGCACTGCAAACGTCCCTGAAACTACCGCTGCAACCGAGACTACACCGTCCTCTGAAAGACCCACAACTGGGATTGCAGAGAGACCTCTTACCACCCCCATAAAGACACTGCTTACAACACCGCCAGTCACAAGTAAGCATTTCTGTGTGTTAGAGCCTGCCGAATGCATAGACATTTTCTCACACCTGTCAAGATTTTCACCACATGCAAAACTAAATTATCTTTTTCTCTGTGTGATTCAATACTGCAGATATTATTTTCTAAACACTGACAACACGCACAGCTCAAATGAGATTGTTTTAGACATGCTTGCTTGGGAACATGTGTGAAAGCTTGCTAGCCAAATCAACTTCACCATTAGGTGCCAAGTAAGGGTCTGAAAAGGTTGTAAATGGCATTTGGGTGTTTCAGGGCTAGAGCATGTGCCAGACATAGCTATTAATTTAGTCTTTTTTAATGTAATGCTTCCTAGGGGAAAAAAAATTAATTTTCAGTGTCTCATATTGAAAGTCTTCTTTAGATGTCTAAGATGTAGGAGTCAGGATCTGTTTTGCCCTGTTCTTTACTGTCACGTCTTTTGGCTGCATGTAAAACAGCCATATTTATGTTGCCACATTTACTTTCTCACCATTAACATCTACATCGAAAATTTCCCTTTGGACGGCTCTAATTAAAGCTATTCCTATGCAGGTCAATGGGTCACTGAACCCACTATCAAGCCTGCCACAGCGGTCCCCATCGACAGGCCAGTTAGTGGTGACAACGTCACAACTCCGCAAACCAGCACCCAGCCCACACCGACGTTCAGCAGCTCCACAAGTAAGTACCGTGACCACAAATGAATAGTGTCACAATAGCCTACCTGGAATCCAGAGCATTAAACCAAATGTACTCAGGTTCTCGGGGAAAAAAAAAGTCTAGCAACATTATCCCTTCTTTCAGGTGGGGTTGCACAGAGAGTTGGAGAGTGCATAGATAAGAATACCCCTTATCTATTTTTGCCAGCTATTTCTACTTTATTAGTGTTTTGCTATTATTGTTGTGGGAAATAAATGTCACAAATGTCAGCTAGTCAATATATGCATCTTCGAGACACCGTGCTCCAAAGCACTACCGCCTACCCTAAATCTTTCATTTTCATTCCATTCCAAAAGCTAGAGACGCGAGTAAAATACTAAAAGAAATGAATTTATTCTCAATGATTTCCCTACCACAGGAGCTACAACCAAGTCTCCATTTGCCCCAGAGTTACCTTCTAAAACGGCACAGGTTCCTACAACAACCACGCCAGCAACAGCAACCCCTGTGTGGCAGAAGACAACTTCTTCCTTGCCAATGACCACATCCAAGCCAACAAGTAAGATGTTTTGCTGCATTTTTTTATACAACAGTGTTAACAATCAGGCTTTGGACTGTAAGAGCAACATTTTCAAAAGTACAGAAGTCATTTTGAGACTCTCAGTGGGACTTAGACTAAAATATATCTGTACATCTACTGCATGTACATAACCCGAACTGGAAGTAGCATAGCTGCTTTAGTGTAACGCCGCACACATAGCAATAAACGCTAAAACTAAAGAGGACCGGGGGTCATCCAAAAGGATTTAACCAAATGGAGGGACAGATTTTCATACCCTTCCTCATCCTGAAGACAATCTTACTCAATGAATACTCTTACTGAAAGCAATAGGAATGCTTTTGGAGAACAGTACCATTATACATGCACTTTTATTATACATTACCCTATGTAGTATGGACCCTAAAAAGTTGCAAATATATGGTCAGATGAAACTAAATAATACATGTAAGAAATAATAGCATAGATAAATTTGCAAGGTAAAGCTATTAAATGTCTTGTAGGGACAGCACAAAAAAGAGATGTCGATGAACATTAGCAACCAAGATCATCAAAGAAGATTATTTGAACTTATAAGACTTGATCTGGTGCAATGTTATTTCTTATTAATATCAATCCCTATTTTCAGGAAAAAAATAGTGATATTAGAGAGGTATAACTTCCAGGAGATTGAGGGGAGAATCATATTAAGCTTTCACACATGTAAGTGGCATGTATGTGGCTATATAACTGGAATTACTGGCCGCTATGAAGGTTTGGATCCTGAATTTCCCATACCAGCCAAAGGAGCAAACTCAGTACAGCTGTAGTCCAGCCAACAAAATTCCCAAGAAAAACAGATTAATCATCTACATACCAACATCCAAGAAAGAAAAATGTCAAGTAGTGGTAGGGTGAGGAAAAGGCAGCAGAAGAACACCTTCCTAATTGCTGGCTAAACATCTGAGGAGTTAGGGAATTTCCCAGATAAGATTTGGCATTTTAATGAGATATGAACTTTTACTTATCACCTCCCACTTGCAGCTATTTCACTGATATCACTCCTTTATAAAAAAAAATCCTTATATTTCCAGCTGGGATTCAAAGCACAACAAAATATCTTATGATTGAACAATTCACGGTGAACTTCATCATAACCAACCTCCAGTACTCCACAGCACTTGGGACTCCCGGTTCCAACACATTCAATGCTTTGGAGAAAAACCTGGCCCATTTGGTAAGTTGACTCAGCTGCACCCTTCCCTAGGGGGCTCGGGGCATTTCAGCCTACCTTGCAGAATGATTTACAAATGATGTTGTGAATCTGTGACTTGGCAGCTCAACCCCATCTTCAGGGAGAGCAGCATCGGCCCCGCTTACCTGGAATGCAAAGTGATGGCTTATCGGTAAGTGTCCTGGGCTTTGGAGGTCCCATTTTATGAGTGGTCTGGGTGCTTGCTCGCTGTCTTCTCCTTCGGCATTGCAGTGGGGCAAAACATGTCTTTGGCACAACACAACCTCTCCAAGCCTGCCACTCCCTCTCAAACTAGAATGGACACGTGTGAAATAGGGCTGAGTCTTCCCTGCCACATGGGATCAAAGGCCTTTCAGGGTCACAGTGCAGGGAGGCAGGGAGCAAATGTGCTTTACATTTCCAAAATGAAAGTTGAAAAGTTCATGCTGACACGAGGCAGAAAATGCTAGGAAACTAGGGAGAGCGGGAATCTGCTCTGGAGAGCTGTCTAAGCACATGAGATCACCTGGGCTCTTGGCTTTTGCAGACCCGTGAGGGACAGAGGCAACACCGGGGTGGATGCTGCCTGCACCTACCGAAGCGACTCCACCAGGCCCCTGTTTGACAGAGTGCGTGTTTACCATGAAGTGCGCAACAAGACAAATGGCGTCACCCAGCTGGGCCCCTACACCCTGGACAAGGGCAGCCTCTACATCAATGGTAGGCAGCGCATTTTGCAGCACTGGGCTTGTGCCCTTCACAGGATTGCCTGTATAAATCCACAAACCGTTTCCCTA